ACAATATTAAATGCTGTGAAGACTTATAATCGTCTTGTGTTTTAAAGGGGTTTATATTTTTATTATCTCCCTTTGTCGTACCATCGACTATTTGTTTCTGTATACTGTCTTGTCATAGGTTCGATTAAGCATTTAGTGTTTTAGTGTTTTAGGTAGAACATAATCCTAACAAATTGTTTGGTAACCTTCCCCCAAGCTATGTATGAAAATATATTACGCATTAGAAATAAACCAAATATTAAGAGACGGCGTTTAATACAATAAACGACTTTCATTCAAACCACCGGAAGTAGATTGTTAGATGATGATTGATTGGTTAATCTATTTATAACAAGTTTATTGATTGGGTAATTAGTTGCATTATGATTGTCTATATATGGTAATAAGAGGAAGTATGTTTTATTCACACTAAAAGGTCATTTATCAAATATATCATAATAAATGTTATTATAGCAATTCTTGACAAATAAAAAAACAAAAAGATCAATCGTCCCAAGATTTAGATGAAAAATAGTGTTGAAATAACCCTTGAAGATACGAAATGGAGTCAGGTACCAGCCAAATGATCAAAGTTGTGGGTTGAACAAAAAGTTTCTATTCTGAATATTTATTGTTTCACCATTTACATTTCCGACTTAAGATTTCGAAATAACCATCAACTATTGTCCAAACAAATTTTATGAAGATGGAATTATATTGATGTTTATATCCGTCATTTTTTCTTCAATCTTTTTTACTTCTGAATTATTAATCCTTTTATTGTGTAAGTGTATGTATAGAAATCCAAATCCAAATTTGCTTTGTGTCTTTAAAGGGGTTACTAGACATGACGGTCGGGGCATTGATTATCAAACTATTATCAATAAATAAATCTATTAATCATTCATTAAATCTATTAATCCTTGTATTGTTTAAAGTGTATGTATAGAATCAAAATTACAATTGTCTATATATGGCTTAGTTTAAAGGGACAGATGCGCCATTTTGGGAGGTTGATTTGAGTCTTAGGTAAATAGTCTTCAGAAGTACCAGAAAAGTACGAAAAATCATATACTTCCCTTAAAAATATCTTAAACTAGTAATTTCTTTTCTTATTTCTATAGATGTCTTTTCTATGTATGGTAGTGGCTCGTCTTTTTAACTTTCAAATGCGGATAATTCTGGACACACATGGCTTTGAAGGCTCAAATTGCGACAGTGAGCTGTGAACCCATTTCCGATTGGTTTAGTTAAACAATTCCAGTTTTTTAGGCTAAGGTTTGATTGTTCAAAAAATGGCACATCTGTCCCTTTAAAAAAGTTGCAAGACAGGACGGTCCGGGGAATAGATCTTAAGTAAATTTAATAGCATCCACTACCTCTCAACAAAAAGAACCCCAACCAGTAAAATTGCCAAAAGCCACTTTTCATATCGAGTATTATTATCATAATATAACTTGTTGAAACAGTCCATGTGGATTCACCATCAGTGTATTATACCAACATGATTATCTTCATCTAATTACTTTATCTGTAATCAAGGCCAAACCTTAAGGGGCTATCATTTCTCCTCTAAGATTTTGAATACATGTCCATTTATTCAAAATCTGTACCTATCGAGGTTCTGTCGTGTTAAAGACACTAATTTGTGCATTTGGCTTGAAATTATTATTGAACAGTATAACTATAGCATGGTAGTAAATGGCCTCTCAGTTTCATGAAGAAGTTTTGGATATTATTCGTTGAGAAAATACAGATGCTGAACTGTTACAGTGAAGTAGGTAAACATACGACATATAACTCGCCGTGAATAATTACAGTTCTTTTTTATTTCAAGTAATAAGAAGACTATAGAAGACATAAGAAAGATCAAGAAGAAAAGAAAATGAGATAGCGTCCTTTAAACAGGAGGTCAATTTCATGGTCAGCAATCTTAACACAGAGAAAACCCCAGGATAAATAGTCAAAGGTTAAATTTTAAATCAGACATCAACAAACACTGTCAGGTGGAAAATTGCTTATTTTTTCTGTCACTGAATCGAATGATTCCATGTCTTGTACAAACCACAACAACACTATTATTTCACTTGCACTGTTCAAGGGGGCTTTCCTCGTTGTATTTCCTCTGATTGTTTTGGTCGAGAATAAGATTAATGGCTACTTAATTTTAGGTCTAATTATTGCTATACATGTATTTTCATCGAGGATTAATGATTGAATCAGAAAAAGAACAAAATTAAGTCCATAAGTCCGAAGTAAGAGAAATCAAGTTTCAAATGATTCGTGCCATTAAGATTTGACAGGTTATTGCGTTTCTTCAGAAAAAAAAATCATTACTTTAGACACGTACCCGTCTTAAACCAAAGATGGCAAGAAAGATTAGGCTTAGCCTGAAGGATTTGAGAATTAAAAATTCAGATTCTGATTAAATGCATGCTTGTGCCTAATCGGATAGCTTTCAAATGACTAAAGAAGTCTTATTGTCCCTGGACTTAGTTTGATATTACTTTATAGAAACTTGTAAAGTTACAATTGAATATTAAAAGATCATAAAAGACTTTGGATTATATCTTCAAATTAGTTTTCTAAAAGCGATTTATAAAAGGAAAAACAATATTTGACCATAACGAGTAATCGCATGAGAAAGATAAGTGTTAATATGAAAAGAACAAGGTAATAACAACATAACAAATTAACAAATTAATAGTCCTTCCGAATTGTTTTTTTTTTCTTAAGCTTTTATTGCTTAAAAATAAGTAATGCTTTAGCCATGCTTCGATAAAATTGAACAAATGTTTAGAACATCCTCATTGTTCACCCCTTCGAGCTATAAGTATGACAGTTTTCTATATAAGATATCAAAGATTCAAACTGAAAGAAAGGGGTTTTATTTAATTTCAAAAGAATGAAAACTTAGGTCCTTTGCATTGACGTTGTCATGTGGCCCTGGACAAGAACCCTTGAGCATTATCTTTCTCTTACCTTGGAGTATTACTCCAATCTCTTTCCAACCAGCCTACAAATGAATAGCCTCGATAAATTCGAACTTATGACAACCGTTCTCTAAAGTTACCGTTCTCAGACAAGTGACGCAATAAAAGCGATATTTTAATCGCTTGTACTTTAACATTAATAATGATATTGGCGTTCCGTTCGTAAACCGGCGTCTATTGATTAGGCGTTGGACTTCTATGTGAATATGACAATTTCATAAATAAACGGGGAAACGGAAGTGAACATCACCATCATAAACCTGTTCTATGAGGAAAAGCTAGTTGGAAAAGTCATAAGAACAGACAGTAATATATTATGTTATAATATAAGACTGTTATGATTGATGGACATTAACCCAACCAACACATACCGATTACATATCAATGTATCCTAGTATTACATCATGATTTATATGTAACAAATGTTGTTCTAAAAACAAGTATACATTTTGTCGAGCGACAGTCCACTGGATAGACAGCGCTTACACCTATTGCGGACATTTGAGTTTTCAATCTATTTGTCAAATTTTGAACTTCATCATATAGAATTTGATCTTTCCATGATACGTGCGGTGTTGCGCCGAAAGGCATTTGGTATTTCACAACCAAGCCTCATCTGGTTGTATCTATTGATTAAAATGGCTCCTGTTTCACAATTCTGATCAATTCCTGGTTATAAAGAGAAGACAAATCCGCGTCATTAATAGTGGTCTTAGTCTTAATCCTGTATTCTTCAGTTCTCTATTATAGTGGTCAATTCTTAGTACAGATTATCTTTCTTTCACGCGTTTTACATTAACTTTTACTACGCAGCATTCCTAATTGATTTGTAAAATGGTATATTAAAGATACCCTCCTTGACATTGTTAATTTAAAGACAAAATAGGTATTACGGCTGGTAGGCTACAGTCTATTTGATTATCAATTACGGCATACTCTTCACTGCAGAAACATAATTATAGAACAATCAGTTCCTCCATTTAAATGCTGAAATTTTTATAAACAATATAATATGCACATTAATGTAGCTTTCACATATATAAGCCCTCTCTCGAGAAGTAGTTTGCACGATCGGCTGTGACTTGGACTGCAGTTGTTGTTCTTGAACGGTACATCGATGCATAATAACGTTCAGTAATAATATGGACCAGCATCTTTAACTAATTAAGATGTGTAAAATGATCTATTAAAGAAGACGATATTGATACAGATTGATGGGCTATTGATAGAAGGATTCGTCTTTTCATGCACCTTATATTACACGTGGGCGTTGATATAGATTAACCAAGGGGTAAAGTCAGTTTTGGCGTGGCGGCGCTAGCCTCCCGAGACTGGGGGTACAAATAGGGGGTCAATTGACTTAGTGAGGCTGAATCCAAATGCAGAAACGCTTTTTCCATGTCAGCCCTCCGATCTGCATCACTGACCGGGGAAGACGGGTTGGAAAATCCGAACAAATGAAAATGGGTATCATGACTTCACTGACAATAAAATTTTATTATCATAAAAAAGCGATATTTAAATTCTCTCATAATATTATTTCTAGCAGAACGGAAGTAAAACTCCAGATCAATTTCAAGATGAAGTGTTATGTTTAACGGATATAGAATGTAATAAATCATATTTTATACGATTATTTCGCCAATAAACTCTAGCATTAATTTTTCATATTATACACTTTATTCATACGAAATGGCGTGTTCGCTAATCTAGAAGATTTTGATTAGAACATTGGCAGTTTTCTGTGGTCACTTTGTCCCAGATTGAGCCACCTTGAAACAGCAAACAAGCATCCTTGCATCCGACCAATTGAAAAATATATATCGACGTCCTGGTCCTGTCCTTTTTAACCAATTAAAGCGTGTAATGTAGAACCGGTTTGTACAAATTAGGACAACGAAATTAAAAGAGGAGTATTGTATAACGCACTTTTTAATAACAAAGAACATAACGTTACACCGAAGAAATGAAGGGGTAAAATGTGCCTTCTCTCTCTCGGTTTCTGTTGAATAGTTTTCACTGTCTATCTCACGAACTTTTGTTTGGCATGACGTGCTGTCTATTCCGTTGTCTGTTGTTATAAATGTTGGATCTGTTGTTAAAATCTAGAACCTGACCCCGCTTTATGAGTTCAACAACCAGAGCACTGATATTCTTACAGTCATCTAGAATAGAGAAAATTGAATTAAAAAGCGAAATTACCATACGTTTATATAAAAATACCATCTATAAAACCGACATTTATCAAAACTATCATTCATTAAAAAATAACATCTATAGACAAAAATAAAAACTATTATCCAGAAGTAAAATCCATTTATAGACAAATATCAGATCCATAATCCATAAAAAAAACAACAATTTGAGGAAACACGTCCTACCTATTCCACTATGATGTCGCCCTATATGCTGTAATTTTAAGGTGGATAAGGCATGAAGTAGATGTCTGGGAAATATGGCTGTTACATCACTCACCGACTGAAAAAATATACCCAAAAACAATAAGCGAAATTAGTGAAGTCCTTTTTGATTCATTAAAGCCAATAACTGTCAACAACAACTATCATGATCTGGATGATGGTCTGAAATTATCTTTCAAGTGGAACGCTATAAAAAAAAAAGTCAATTCTAGCAACCTTCATCACTTTTCAATATAAAACTTTGACATTAGGTTGATCTTCACTCACATATTTTATTTTTCATTCCAATGATTACAGATGCCCTTAATATCAATGTACAAAATATTCTAGTGATAAAAAAAGTGACCAAGTGGTAGGCTACAAAATGCTTGAACACTTGCACTAATGAACCAACGTCCAATGGTGTTGTGAGTAGCCAAAAATTCTCGCCAGCTGATTTAAGGAACTGAGAAATCTCTATGCATAATGTCTCAATGGTTTCAAAATACAGAACATAAGAAATGTAATAATTTCCACATAAATAGTGATCTTACTCTTTTGACATTTATCCATTGTCCACTGTTGAAATAATCTTTAGGTTTTATATCTAAATACTGGCACTGACTAGGTAACCTAGAATACAGACCACAATTGTTGGTTTCTTATAGTTTATATAGCACAAGGGAAATAACTGTATTATAAAATTGTATTATTCGGACAACAATGGGTTTTCAACATTCGATTCAGTGTCTCTATATACGACACATGTAACGGTACAAATTCTATCTTTCTTTGAACTTGTGACGAATTCTCGCGGTTCATATGGCAAAAGGGAAATAACTGCACTATAAAATTATTTACTTCAGACAACAGTTGATTTTCGATACTCAAATACATGTAGACCTACATGTCAGGTTGGTTAAGAATTGAAATTTTTTAATACTTTTGACACCTCTGAAGATACTAAGACCACATTATTGGTTTCGTGCAGTTCGTGACACAAGGGAGATAACTATATTATAAAAATTGTTTAATTCAGACAACAATTGATTTTTAAACTATCAAATACATACACATGTCAAGTTGGCTAGAAATTACAATTCTAGAATTCCCTGGACACCTTTAAAAATACTTACATAGTTTTTAAATCCCAGTCACCAAATGTAGCAAAAGCAAATCTAACATCATCTTTCAATAAACCTTCAGCATTCATCCAATGATCAAAATCCTAAAATATAAGAAATGTTATATAAATAAAACACTATTATGGATATACCAGTACTATAAGCAATGATCTTTGCTTGATAAAGATTCATATATGTGCATTGAAACGTTGCTTAACTTAAAGAGGAGTAGTTTATCCATAATAGTGTTATATTTATATAATGTTCTATCTACTTCTAAATGTCATTCAAGGATTATATGAGAAAGGTTTCTGGAAAATGACATGGGGGATATGAGAGTAACATTTCTATTTGGAATAAATCACAAATTCAAAGCTTTACATTTGTAAGAGCTGTTTTACAATTCAAATTGTATATTTAAAGTGGTAATAATCTGGTGGTACTGAGTCTCATCAAGTATAATAACTATAAAATGTCTACCTGTAAAACTTGTGGTAAAGTAGGCTTATCGTCCACCATTTCTTGTATAATACCAGTTAACTAAACCAAAGAAAAAAATACCTTTTAGATATATTAGACATTAAATATATCCCCATTCTTTTCTGACATTTTTATCATTTTGCATAAAACCAACATTGCCAAATAAACTCAACTCCACTAGAACTCAATTACTGTTTCCCATACTCAACTGGCTAGCCATTCCTCAGACTATTACAGACCATTGTTTTAAAAGTTAGGGATTAAAATGGCCTCAGTTAACTAGTCTTTGTGTCAACTCGTCTACAAAAGTGAGTTTACTCTCACCTCAGTACAGAATGTGGTCAATTCTGGGTGAACTTCTGGTTTTACATATGTATGAAAAGTCGATTCAATTTTCAAACTTGATGCATTCAGTTTCATCACTGGGAATTCAATAATTTCCTGTAAAAAAAATTGTTTCATTCAGAATTTTGGTTTAATCCCTCCCTCCCTCAGCTCAAAATATATTCTCTTCACTGCTACAGTTGTAAATGAGGTTGATGATTTAAGCCATGTAGTTGTTTTTCGATGTAGTTGTTTTTCGACAACGTGTGTTGTTCAAAGTGTGGCTTATATTCAGAAATATAGGGTATAGGGCAATAAAAAATCTAGACCCATAGTGATGAAGTTATTTTCCTTATATCCAAGTTCATTACTATAAAGTCATCAAAATTTCTTTAATTTACCTGTGGTTCAGGTTGATGAGGTCTGTCGCACGTTGCTTCAAAATCCAAAACTAGAAAATAATCAAAAATCTGTTTTTTAGCATGTGACTGCGTCATTTTAGATCCTCTGACTGAAGTAGGGTAAGCAAACTGTCTATATTGTAAAACCTGGGGTTGGTTTAACGGGTAGAACTGACGCGAAACTTGATTAAGAATTCTAGGAAATAATTTGTGTGCTACTTTCATTTTGTTTTGAAATGACGTAAATTCAACTTCCGGTAATGTGATCAACTGACCTTGACCCTATCAAGTGATTTTTCGTCAGGAAACCTTCTTACTGAAGACATATTTTTGTTTGCTTATTGATTTTTAGTCACAATTTTATGAATTATTTGACCATCGTCTGCAAAACAAAAGATAGAAACAAGGAGATTTGATTCGGTGTGAGTAATACCTTTTTCCGGTTGTTCCAAAGATGGCGACATCGAAATTGAAGCAGCTGAAATAAAAAAAAAAAAGGAAAAGTGAATCGATATTATATTGTTTTTCCAGAAAAATGGTGTAAATTTGGATAAATGAATATTTCTTTTTGTTTTTTAGGTAGGTCTGAAATATTTTTCTACCGGCTTCCTTGTTGATCATTGTTATTCCTGATTATATTTGAAGTTGATGGAATCTTTGCAATTTGTCATTTACTCAACTGTTAAGTCTTCAATGATAGATGGAAGTTGGTGAACAGGGTGGAATGTTGGTACATGCTTGATGACTCACACTCATTGACTCAAGCCATAAATCATAAGAATATATTTTGTTGTATTTCAATACAATTTTGTGCTAGAGGTTGAGTTCCACTCAGACGTGTCATAAGCCTGCCAAAATGCCAGAATTATTGAAGTAAGGGACCACAATTTCACATATACCGGTACCTTAGAGTTTGTACATGAAGCTCTTTTGTCAGAAATCTGTGTTTCTTGTAAGGATAGAAAGATTTAACTTGATAATTATGTAACTAATCTAAATACCATTCTAGGTTGTATAAGCTTATGGTACCGGTACTGGTATTTGGGATAATGATTTCATAATCATTTCATGGCATTGCCATTATATCTGAAATCAGGAAAGTTTACACAAAAGCTGTTCATTTGAATCCCTTTCCATCTTTTTTTATAGCTGCCTGAACAATATGTGCATGTTTTGAGTTATGTTTGTTAGTTTGAAATAAAATAAATATTTTTTTAATTTCAGTTTTGTTTTTTTCCAATGGATTTTGTTGATTTAGATAAAGTTTTAGATGAATTTGAAGAAGAAGGTATGAATTTGATTTGTAATTTTTGTTTTTCGATTTCTGTTCAGTCAGTGTCCTGTCATTCAGCATGTCAATACTTAAGCTGTCAAATCAATTTATTTTCTGTTTGACTGTCTTACATTTACACTGTAAAATTGAATCTATAGTCATTGCCATTATGCAATGGTTAGGACTATATAAAAAACTGAAAGAGAGTTCATATCAATTCAATATACTTTTGGCTTTTGACCTAATTTATAATACATCATTTCACATAATGAGAAGATAATTAAAAATATTCTCCTAAAATTTATGAAGAAAGGTTATTTACAAAAGAATCAAAAAGAATGAATTATTAAGGCACACTGTGTAAATAACTGTTTGTTTTGACCTAGTTTACAATGTTTACAATAGAAAATTAAACTTCTGGTCAATTGTTATATGTATTATTAAAAAAAAACCAAGGTTTAAAAGTTTAAATTGTAAGAAATTTGTGAGTCTCACAAAGAATGATGATAATGATAATAAAATGAATACAATGATAAAGTTAATACAATATCATTAACATCGAGTAGTTTGTAAACTTAAATAGAAGTTACATTTTACGTTAAAGATGTCAAATTATTTCTTGTTTTCATTTGTTAAAACAATTGACAATTATGAGTTGATTGTTTATTGATAATTTTACAAGCACTGATATATATATTTGAAAAAAAGAATACACTTTTGACTTTGTTTGTGTATCAAGAATAAGCAGTTATGTGTACAAGTGTACGAGTTATTGACATTCATTGGCAGCAAGTGACAAAAACTCTTAACAAGATGCAAGATAAAAATGAACAAAATTAAAGTGGCTTTAAGTGTGTTTTTAGAAATGAAACACAAGTTACCCCTGGCTTATACATCTTATCGGCCAGTTATCACATATGATGTTAATGATATGATTATAGCTTGAATTATGATGAATCATTATAAGAAGTTACAGATTTAATTACTCTGCTCTTTTCTGCTGTTAATCTTAAACTTATAAAGTTAGACATTTTTAAGTCTGTTTTCTGCTACATCTGAAGTGAATTTTTTCATTTTGTAGAAAAAGCAGCAGAAGATATTACACCAGGACGGGAGACGAAGCCTAGTGGGTATGCAGAATATATTCAATCACATCTAGATAAACCATGGGAAACGTTATCGACTGTTCCAATTGGAAAACCTTCCGTCACTTCCATTAATGACAATACTAACATTATTTTGAACTATGATGACCCTTATCATCAGTCGCCTGATAAATTGGACTACAATACCACCAATCAGATCAATCCTATTAAAAAACTGGAGCAATTAGGACTGGATAATGTTGACTACAGTGAGCAAGGTTTTGATCGACCAGTGAATGACATCATAGTCACAAACATTGAATACAGTACTCATCACCCAGTCTTAAATGACCATATTCATACTCGAAATATTGAATATAATTCTATACCCAGTGTGGATGACTCTTCATTGCAAAGTGTAGATAACTCTTCCATACAAAGTGGAAGTAACTCTGGGTTACCTAGCTTAGATACCTATTCATTACCAAGTGTTGGTAATTCTTCCCTATCAAGTCAGAGTTCTCTTAAATTGATGGTAAATGGAGATGTGAAACATGAATCTAAAAGTCGGTTGTTAGCTTCACAAGTAACGGCTGTTCAGACAGACGCTCTTTCTCCAAACAGTGAACTGGAATTCTCTTCCTATCCTTATCCCAAATCTGACATTATTGTTGAAGGTCACGATACGGTCAATGCGGGTGAAGTGAAAGTAGATGTAGTTGAAAGTGTTTTAAATTCAAAACAAATCAAAACAAGTGACTTGAAGAAAGATTCAATCCCAGCTTTGGTAAATTCTTCACATCAAAATGTTCATCAAATATCAGAAACTGCGAAAGAATTGACTAAAGTGTATCAAAATGGAAATAGCCAGTGCTCCGTGGATAATGAATCTCTTCACAGCAATGAGTTGAAGGGAAAGATTGATTCATTGGATATTCCGAAAGTTATTGGATTTGGAATGGAGGACACTGATGTGACTCCATCTGATATGGATGATTATTTAAATGATTTGGCTAAACAGATGGCTGCAGAAACACCACAGTTGTCACAGAGTTTAGGCTCTGAGCTAATTCAAGCTGAAAAATCAAGTCTACCCTCAGAAATGGTCAGTCCAAGAAGTTTGAGTTATTCATCACATGATCAACCAGCCTTGTCTTCAATGATTGTAAAGGAGAAAACACCAACCAGCCTGAGTGATGAACTGCAGCAAGCAACCAATGGACTTTCTGATGATCAGAAAGAGGGAAGTCCTTGTCGAGACGCTGGAAGCAGCCCTGATGTTGTCCCAAAAGATGAAGTTTATTCTAGTATGGAAGGAGCAGTGGGACACTCTCCAGAATGTTCCAGTTTAGAAAGACCTAATTTTGTGCAAGAGAAATCACCTAACACTCTGGATTATAACAGAAAGGGAATTGTGTCAGATATTAATATTTCACTGACACAAGATGGAGACTGCTTAGAAATTGAACAAATTATAAATGAGCCCATCTCATTGAGTGAATATGATATAAGCTGTGAGCCAATCAATCATGCATCTAAGGATCATGCTTCAAGCTCAGGATTTGTGTCGGAAATGCCGAGTGTGCCTAGGGAAAAGACGGGTAAAACAGATGTGTCTTTAGATTCAGACTATCACAGTGGGATGTCTATGGATTCAGTTATTATGAGAAATCATGATCAGGCTGGAATTGGACAGGGTGCACGGCCAAAAGAGCCAAATCATGTGAAGAGAGGACGTCCAAGTAGTTTACTGGGTCTCTCCAAGGTGAATTTGGAAGCTCCATTTTCTGGGACACATGTTGTGGACAGTTCTCCAGAAGGAAATCAAAACAATGTTTCATCTTCTGGTTCATCAAGTGTTGTTAATGATTCTATTAACAGTGACCAACACACAGAATATCAAAATCATGTTGAAAATAACTCAAGTAATGTCAATTCATTGCAAAGAGGTGGACAAGGGTTCTCTCAGAACAGTGAGAATACGACTGGCTTGGAAGATCTTCCTGTTCTACGAAGAAACCTGGATGTTGCTTCATCGTCGAATGGAATGGCATCTGCCTCCCGACCACATTCATGGTCACCAGGTGGCAATGCTAGTCCACAGATGAATAAATCTAAGCGTCCTTCCAGTTTAAATCTGCCTCCCCGTGGTGAATTTAATCCAGATGATCCTGGCATTGTTCCTTGCCGAACTAGAGGGGTATTGACCCCATATCCTGAACAATCAGAAGAAAATGAAACACCACAAGGTAATGATATGAGCTTACTTTTGAAACAAGCAAAATTGCTTTTAATTTTAGAAAATAGTATTTGAAAATTTGCCTAAAATGATAGTAAAGTGGAAATTTATCTATCACTTTTTCAGAAGATACAGTTGAATCAAATGAAGAAGAAGTAGAAACAGAAGGTGCCATAGCAGATGAGCTCAATCTAGAGCCAGAACAGTCAGATGTAGCAGAAACTCTGAATCCAGTTCCCATTATACAAACCAGTTTAGGAATGGTGGCCCCTGATTGGTTACCTGATTCAGAAGCTCTGAACTGTATGCAATGTCAAGCTAGATTTACATTTACTAAAAGAAGGCATCATTGTAGGGCTTGTGGAAAGGTAGGCTTTTGATGATATACTTAAGAATTTATAACTCCAGTAATTGTGGTTTTGTAGGTTGATGTTCAAAACATGGTTTATTCTCAAGAATTCATGAAGATTACAGACAAATTAGGACCACTAGCAAAACTTGATTGTCAAATACAATTAAATCAGGATCTCTGATATAACTTTTGCGACTTTTGTATCAGTTAATCTGTCAGTTGTTCCATGAATAAATTGGGGATAAAGCATAATAATTTTGAACAGGGCAGTAGGTGAGTTTCATTTTGATATGGATCATCTTTCCTTGCTGAAAGCAGGTTTTAACTCTTTCCAGATATTCTGTTCACTGTGCTGTAGTATGAAAAGTAAACTAGTGTATATGGAGAATAAAGAGGCAAGAGTTTGTTTATCTTGTCATCAAATTTTACAAGCAGGTAAGCTTTACTTTCATTTTATACTTCTATTCTGTTTTCATTATATTTCACTCTTAATAGAAAATGAAATTTGGTTTAGATTGTAGAAGAATTAACATCAACATTTTTTCTCAACATCTTGGAATGTTACTATCACTTTCATTTATACACTGCATGTACTCTTCCAACATAAACTGTGGTATTCAAAAACAGATTATGCTTATTCACTACAGATCTCTCATTATTGGCTGTGTTAAGTTATCTTGTGATAAATTTTGATCCAAGGTTTTATTTATTGATATGTTATATATCACATGTGTAACAAATATAATAAGTTATTTGTAAAAACTGTTTTAGACATTTGATCATTTGCTCAGATACTTGAAATGCATGTTGCTAGTTTCATGCAATGGCTGACTTAAATTGTTCTGCTTTTTACCACTGGCTTTGAATTTCACATGCTCTAGGCATGGGTGCCCCTTAATCCTTTATGGTCAACACAATCTAAAATACATCTCAAGCACATAGTACATTAGCTAGATATAAAAGAATAATTGTGGAATTTGGTAAAGCCTCAAGAACCTAACTGTGGTAATGTCTCACTTTGACTTTGAGTAAGATCTTGCTAAAACATGAATGTGCAGTGTCCTAATATTCAGACGAACATTACATTCAGGACAATGCATTTTTCAAACCACCCTCTCCTGCTTTCTCAGTGTGATGGCTAATTTTTTTAACCTTTGCTTGCTTCTATCTAGCGGAGAAATCAGACTCATACAACCCGCATCCGAATAATCCTAGCGACTACTGTTCAACTGTTCCTATATCACAGCAACTCAATCCTCCAAACTCCAACCCTACTGTTCTTGTACCTTCAGGAGTTCTCAAACGTGATGGTGAGTTCTTGAATATATTTGCATATCTTTAATTAGTATTCGCATATATTTATAGAATCTTCTACTTATTTATGAGGCAAATACTTTCTCTGGCAACTTTGTCTGTTAGTGATAGCTATTCAACAGGACCTCTCTTGTCCTTCCAATAAGTTTGTTCTGATGAGACAATAAACTAAGGTCCTGTGAAATACAAGCTGTGTACTTCAAAGATACTTCATTAGTTGAAAATTGATAAAACTTGGTACTCATCAAAATAGATTGCTTAAGATTATTTTCTTTTACTTGTAAAATGACTAATTCTCTGAATCTAACCCCAGCTTCTTTTCTATGCTTATTTCTGCTTACTGCTTGGATACATCTTATCAATGATCATAAAATAATCCTCATGCATGTAATTAATCACACTGGATGATCTTTCTTTAGTCAGGACAATTATAAAATAGGTGATATCATCGAGGGCAAAAGGATTTAATTCTTCAATATTAGGGTAATGATGTTTATAAATAGTAAGCTTTTTCTAACTTAATGACTTACCACTTTTGATGAAAGTATAACTGATTTATTCTGAATGATTGCAGGTACTCAGAGACGCAGTGCCGAGCCAAAACAAGTAATGTTCAGTGATGGAATCCGACCAGGAGGAGATCTTACCGAGTTGGATGGTTCTAATGATACATCTTTACCGTTTAGACGGACTGGTAGAATACAGAAAAAAGTTGAAAAACAAGGTAAGTTACTCCAATCTTTTCAGGCAAAACTTGGAATGGGAAAACTTTCATTTGAAATGGATTGAAAGCAAAGTGTGTGATAAAGTGAAAATCTTTTTCAACTAGTAAGCTTAAAAAGAAATGCTTGGTGCTTGAATTGCAGAGATATAGATGCCAAGAAAAAAGTTTTATTAGGAAATTTTTATACTCAATTCTATTATTGTTATAGTATTAATGCATGGAGTATTGACATTTATTCAAATTCATCTGCCGAGCTGAGTTCATAATTACTATTTTTTTTATATTTTACTCCAGGTGGGCAATCATCACCTAAAACCAGACGCGTCCGAAATACCAATAATCAACGAAACTTGATACCTGATGATGGTTTACCTCCCCTTTATACCAAAATAGAGGGAACTTCAGGTATGTGTTTGTATTGGACAAAATTCAATTAGTTATGTTTTTTTTTCTTTAGTGGCATATAGTAAACCACTATTAGTTATAGTGTAACAAATATACAGTTTATTTATCTTTTTCATTCTATCTAAATATGTTAAAAAATCACCAAAGAAATTGACATTGTTTATACATATATATGATTATATGATTATTTATGTTATAGAGGGAACATTTGAAGATAGTTTAGATCCAGTAATGTACATGCCACAAATCAAAGGTAAAGAATTAGTTTCATATTTAAACAAGTTGATTGTAAACTGTCTGAAAGTCTTTCGCAATTAATTAGATGCAGGAAGTACAGCCAATCAGAATAGGAGTAAGTCATTGCTCAAGTAGATTGGAATTTGAATAATTAAACTCTACTGTTAGTAAACCATTTAATATTGAACCCCAATTATAGAATAATATAGATATATTATTATATTTTCTAGATGAAGAGTCTGAGCCTGTGATATTTGCTGTAAATAAAAATCTCTTTATTTTAGTTAAGATGTTAAACCGTAAGTATTCATTCCAAACATACCTGTACCGAAAGATAGCTATGATTAAGCTTGGAATGACAAATGCAATAGTTTTGGAAAGATTAAGTTAGTAGGAAAGGATATAATGTATGGTTATGACATATGACAATCAATAGGTCTATTTAACATAATGATGACCAGATTTCCTAATTTCTAGAATTTATTAGAGCTGATTTTAGGGAATTGACCCTGTATATTTGAAGAGAGTGGTTTCTGATAACAGTTATTAATACTTTGTATATATATTTACAGTGGATTGTTGTGTGAAACGATCTGTGTGGTGTTTTACATCTCGTGGTATGTGTACTGTAGGACAGAATGAAATAATTATATTACTGGAGGTAGTAGAGGATGAGTTATCTCCCCCTAGAGATATCTTCATGCAGTATAGTAATATTTATGAGGAAGCCAGTAAAGGTATAGTTTGTTTTATTTTATTAAATTGTTCAGAGTCTGAGGTCTAGATAAAACTTTCAGTGTGTCTTACTGGCTTTCATATTTGATCAATGGTAGCCAAATTTTTTCAACAAGTATGGCAAATGCTGGAAGAAAATCAAGCAGATCAATGGCCTTTTGTTTTATTTTACTCCTTGCTTATTACCAACGTTTCAACAAATCAATAATGTGATTTCTTCCCCTAAATGTTTCTTAAGGATAAAATCATGATATCTTTAATGATACTTCTATTGATTTCAGGAAATGTGATAAATGACCTAGGTTATTCAATATTTAATCAGAATTTTCTGGGAAATCGAGAGCATGGTGGATTTCTGTATATCACACCAACATTCCAATGTCTTCAGAAACTAATTCTACCAGAACCACCGTATTTAATAGGTATATTATTACAGAAATGGGAGACACCATGGGCTAAAGTCTTCCCTCTTAGATTGTTGTTACGACTCGGAGCAGAATTTAGATGTAAGTTTGATTTATTTAATAGATGACTCAAGTTACTGTTTGATTCTGTGCTAACAATAAAAAATCAAAATACTAACAATCCAAACTACAAAACGAAAAGCCAAATCTAAAATCACATTCTGGTAATACATTGGTCGCAGCTAATGAAGTTTTCATATGAGGAAGTATATCAGTCATAAATGAAGGATTTTTTTCATAAGGATCTCACTCTTTATATGAGCTAAAGGCCAATTTATTTCCCAATATTTGCACTACAAGACTGAAAAATTAATTGATGATTGAGTCAATATTGACTGAAAATTTTCTTAAAAACAAAGAACATCATTTTAATCTTGATACAACCACTGCTTATTAGGTAGTTTTTTTGTATATTTTAACAACCTGGGAATGAAGACATTATTGATTTTATATTTTATTCTAATTAATTTCAGATTATCCATGTCCGCTAGTGAGTATAAGAAATAGAAAACCAGTATTCTTTGAAATTGGTCATACTATTATGAATCTACTGGCAGATTTCAGAAACTATCAATATATGTTACCCCAGAATCGTGGTGTATTTATACATATGGAAGATAAGAAAACAGTTATCAGTTTCCCTAGGAATAGATATGATGATGTAAGTATATTGGTGATGGGGTTCAAAACTGACAATGGGACGACTTTCTGAAGCACTGGATGTGGCATCCCAATTTTGCTGGGAGGGGGAATCAAACTAACTAGTAGACTCAATCCAACTCCCTACTGACTGAACTATTTCACTGTGTGACAATGAGTTCTACAAAATATAAGGTGGTGTTATCATTTGCAACTAATTTGAAAAGAATCATGTTATAACTTAGAAGCTAGTTTCTAAATAAATGCTCTTGTAGATGATCGAGATGAACAATAGAGCTTATATACCGAATCATTCGGTGTACAGTAAGACAGTTTGAGTCTATGATTCATACCTTAAGGTGCTAAGCTATATTCTACATACTAGACCATAAGTTATGGCGATATTATGGTCTTTATCAATCTGTATAAAACTTGTATTTGTAGCTGATGAAGGTAGTCAACAACAGTAATGAACATGTCATGGCTCTTGGAGCCAGTTTCTCAACTGAAGCTGATTCTCATCTAGTTTGTATCCAATCAGAAGAGGGCAATTATCAGACGCAAGCTATCAATATACAGAATAAAGTTAGAAAAGGTATACTTGTTTAAATGAATTATTACCAACTGGATTGTGGAGAAGTAAAACGTGACAAAACCTTTTGTAAAAATAACATATATCAGCATTTTTCTGTTGACTTTCTGTGATTTTATATTATAGATAATCATAAGAAAATACATAATTACAGAGTTCCAAGAAAGTTTATCTTTTAAGACATAAGTTAAAACTCTGTGTCTTTGATTTGTATTCATCAACAGCAAAATTGTACCTTTCATTCATAAGCATCATTCTTGATATTTGCATGATCTGATGAATGTATTCTTTAATTTGAAGTTACTGGAGCTAGTTTTGTGGTATTTAATGGAGCATTAAAACCCAGTTCAGGATTGACAGCCAAGTCTAGTATAGTAGAGGATGGATTGATGGTACAGATAACACTAGAGTCTATGAACGCTTTAAAAGAAGCTATAAAGAATATGTTAGACTATACTATAGCATGTGGTTCTATGACATCACCCCAGCCTGAGGAACTGATCTGTATACAGTGGGTAGAAGAGGATAGAATTGTCAATATGGGGTACGTTTCTAATGTTATTTACACTTTTGAACTATGGGTTTCATATCTAAGAGAGGTTCAAGGATTCATTAGCTAGATATTATTCAGAAGTTGGTAACAGTTTTAAATAATTAGATTTCATCTATGATAATAGACATACACAAGAGACCCTATCACATTATTTACTAAGCAACATCTATGATAGTTCCTATTTTTCAAAAGTAGTTTTTCTTAATTCAGAGTAAAGAGTCCAATAGATGGAATGTCGATGAGTTCAGTTGAGAGTATACGAGTTCATAAAGCTACAGATTATGTTGGTGAAAACAGATCAATACGCTGGACTGAGGTCTTCTTTATACAGAATGAAGATACAGGATCACGATGGGAACCAGTAGATCTTAGTCGTCTGGGTGAAATGTTAGCCTCATCATTCTGTATCGCCATGACACCACATTTAGACAGGTTGAAAGAGGCCTCGTTAACTAAACTCGGGTTGAGAGTTAGATTAGATTCAGAAAGTGTAAGTATTGAAATGATTTCTAGATTAAGGTGCATAGGAAACACTTGAAGCTTGTATATCCCTCTTGAGAATTCTTTGTTTGGACCAATGTAAAATAAAGAGTTAATCATTATTATTACAATAATGATGTGATCTGTAAATCGAAAACATTTTGTCCTTTCCTATGGTATATTTTTTATTTAACTGTAGAGAATGTCAGATTGCAGATAGGAAGTTTATGAGTCAACTATCTATTCATGACTTCTTGTCATCGTGACTTCTTGACATCACCAAGGGAAAGTAGTAAGGCTAAAGTTCAACTAGTTACTTTGAGAAAAGATCTTTTGAACATAATATTTTCTTTTGGAATTTTAGGTCGGATATGAAATTGGCGGAAACAACGAAAAATTACCAGATTTTTACATGAATGACCTAGATAGCGCTTTGATTCCTGTTATTCATGGAGCTGCTTCTCAAAATCAGGATGGACCAATTGTTATGGAGCTTATATTTCATGTTCTGGATTGAACCAATCAAAATCATTATAACATAGTGTGAAATCATCCAATAGAGTTATGTTATACTGTCCATTTCATCCAATCAAATCTGTCCTCTATCACTTATCATCCATGGAACATATTTTTGAATTGTCTTGAAAAATGAAATGTGGTGATTTTATAGCTGATAATACATCGTAGAACAGTTCCCTGTTGTTATGAAGTTATGCAATTGAATTGAATAATCCATGAAGTCCATTCAGCTCAACTGATTTGACATGATTGTATGAACAGCATTATCACTAGAATGAACTGTGGGAAATATGAATGTGACATCTGAATGAAAGAGTAGCTGATAAAACAGTCAATCCCAACCTGTTTCAAATGTTGAAGCTGCTGTCAGAGGGTATAGGCCTTACTTATTTTGGAAGCAAGATATATTGCTATCTGCAAAGTGATTGTGTCATGGTATACTAACACTTAGTATGAAAGAAAACTACTGATTTCACAGTCTGTGATTTGAAGAGTGGGCCAAGTGTTGTCAGTGACACTAGTAACCTACAAAGTTAAATGACAGTATAATATACTAAATGAAGACTGTAATAACTCTATACTTGTAATCATATTTAAGATCATATATATATTAAAATGGCATTAACTTATATTTTTAAATAAAGCTTAATCCACTTATATTTGTCTGTTATACATGCTGATAGAACTTTATATTCATTGCCTGTATCACTTTTAATTATGAGAATCTAGCTTCAGGCATGCTTCACTTATAACTATAAATATTGTTAACAAAAAAGGTAATTGAAATGGCACCTTACTCGAAGATTTTTAAACTTATACATTGTTTCAATAAAGCAATACATTTCAAGATTTATTTTAAATTTCTTTAGTTCATTGTTGTTTTTTTTCATAAAGTTATATTTAATTTCATTTGTTTTTTTTTTGTCATCTAGTCATTGATTGTTGTGGATTGTTATTTTGTTATATTTCGTGTTTGATCTGTTTTTATTATAAGTGTAGGATTTTTTATATTATGTACTAAGCCTATATACCAAATGTACAAAATATATTTAAAGCTATAGATGTTTCCTTTCACTGATTATAGACCAAAAAACAAATTTCTTTTTTATTGATAAAGTATTGTTTGAATTGGTCAACACATTATTCCATTATTATTGTTAGATAGATCATTTATAGAGTAATACATAAAAATAGGACTAACTTCCGAAAATCTTCTATTATATGATTCATATAGTAAAATTCAATGAAACTTATAAATATTATTCTTGTACATCTTAGAAATTCTAGCATAAATTTTACAACTGAAAATGGCAGGCTTTCACAATAGAGCTGTATTAATTACATAACTGAATTGACAGATATTAAAAAGTGACAGATAAATAGTGTTCACCCAAATTAAAATACTCTGTAAATATAGTAATTATTTTCAAATACAAAAATTTTGTACGATATTAAATATTATTGTATAAATATATATATGTTTATTAGAGATTTTATTGGTGATATATATGATTATTATGACAATGCGAAATATTGGAGATATTGACCTGTACAAAATATATTATAGAGATATATATGTGTATTTTGGTGATATAAGACGATATAAAATGAATATAGAGATATGAATTATGAATATATATGCTTAGATATTATCTGCCATAATGAACAAAAAAAAAAAGAGGTTATTTACTTACCAACCCTTCCTCCAAATCTAATCGTGATTTAACTATGCAAATAGATTATATACGCCTCTATTTATGACACATTTTTGCTTATATGAATACATGTATATCTATCAGGCCAATTTTGATTACAACTGCAATATTGTCTGTTATTTTTTAGGTCTTTTCTGCAAATGAAAAATGTTAATTCAATTCAAACCATGGCAAACATACAAATTATTAATTAAGGCTCATTCTGCTATATTGGAATCAATGTCAAAAATTTCTATATCAATTTAAAAAGAAAACATTTTTCCAGGTTTTTTTTTCGACCATACATAAATATATCAATTGATAAGAAAATGTATATTTATAATACACAAGAATATTATCTGAGGAATCTATGTATGATGATAAATGATACATGTAAACTATGTACAATTTTATTGTTTCTTTAAGATGTATATATAATATGCATTATACTAATTTGTATCTAAGGACAGTAAGATTTATAATATATCATATAGTGTATTTTATAATAAATTCCCTATTGTATCTATGGACAGAGAGAATTGTACAGTATCCATTATAAAAATTTATACGTTGTGTACATTTATCTCCCTTTAATAATAATTGAATGATTTTTTAATGACTGTCAATGAGATACAAATTAATATTAATTGATAGTCCAAGATATGAATATCTGAATATTGTTCAAAACAGATACAAATAATCTATTGTATGAACACAATATAGGTCTGGATTGAATGACTTCCTTTCATTTATTCTACCCAGAGCAAAGCTGTTTTGTTTTATATATCAGCTGTTGTGAAAGAAAATCTTTGTTCGAAGATACATTAAAGGAAACTTTATCAGGAAAGGTTCTTGTTCACGATGTCTATGAAGCATTTCGTGAATGTGTAATATTGTTAAATGATTTATTAAGTCTGTGTTATATGTTGATTGTATTTCTAAAAGTCTTTATTATAATATAATAATGTATCTATACCTATAAATATACAGATAAATTAAACTATTTATAATACTACTATATTCTGCCTTATTACTCTTTTCAACCACATGAATGGCCTAATTGAGGTGCTTAGATCTATAAATGCAAACAACATTGATTGGCTCCACTACAAAATTTATGCCTTTTGGAGCCCACTCTACAGGTAATCCTGCACATTCGGGATTCATAGAATCAACTAGACATTCAAAAAAAAACAAGTTGGAACAGACTTCAGAATGCTTTCCACATTCCACAGATTAATTTATATACAAAAACAAAATAACAACAAAATACATTGAACCATTGTCCATTAATTGACAACGTAGACTACATCATTAGACTACATCAATTGTCGGTGACAGTAACATATTCAATGAAGAACAATCAAGTCTATATTTCAGATCAATCCAGTCTCTAAGCAAAATGAAAGCCTTCTTTGTTGAACATATTCATTAACCTGAAATGAAATGAGACAAAATCTTAATAAAGACAATCAAATAATTTCTTAATAATTTATAGCAGCAAATTAAACAAAAAATCCAAGAGCTGTAAATATATATCATTATCATAATTTCTCAGAGTACATCAACTTACTGTAAAAATTCGTCAATATCCATAAATCTGGCTCTTTTCTTCTCAAACCCACTAGCCTCAATCATTTCATTGACTTTCTCTTTTATATCAAAGTTTTCTGGTATTGTCTATAAGAAGTATATGACAGTTAGTGACTAAGTACATTTCCGATATCCATTATAATATAAGGAAATCTTACATTATGACATTATAATATAAGATATTTGTTTACTTAGAGCACCTGCTGAAAAAAAGCAAGTTTTTGTTTAATAGCATAAGTATAATAGTATACATAAGCAGCAACGCTTATTTTCTATTCATATAAACTTGGTGTTTTGCTTGTGTGCCCTTTATATAATTTTGCATCAAATATTTTCTGTTATTTTTTTCTACTATTAAATGCAATCAACTGTGTAAAGAAAAAAAACATATACCTTATTATGTAGAGAACAGTGTATTTTATAATTCTTTTCTAATAACCCTAAAATCTTGGTAAATCTATTAGGAAAAAAAAAATTCAATTGGATTAAAAAAACAATTGGAGACTTGAGTTTTATACCAGTTATTTGATTTACTATGTTTTGATAATCAAATTCAAAAATATCAAAACTGCAACATGTTAATTTAACAGCATAAGATATAGGTATAGAAGTCAATACTTAACTCACCTAAAAGAGGCTCCTATTGTTTTATTTTTTCTGGAGAAACAAATTCTGATTAAACCATCCCACTCCTAAAAATAAGACGAAAATATTATAATATATTCAGTGGCACATTTAAATATCATAATATTCTGTATTTTATTGTTTGTAGAATACCAGGCCAAGTATTCTCGAAATGATCTAAGCGCTGGGATGTCTTAGGTTCTTATCTTCTAACATTGATTCTAGGACATCCTAGTGCTAAGATCGTTTTCCCAGTAGTCAAACCCTGGACCTCAGCACCTGTGGATGTAAGCAAGCTAATGTGAAACGGTTAGAACTCCCATGATTTAATACATTTTTATATCAAAGTAGTATAAATATGATAAATAAAACATTGAACCTACCTGAAAATTGACGGGAGGTGGAGGATTTCGAGGCTCTATTCTGACTACACTGGACTCTACTTTCGGTGGAGGTCGAAAATTATTCTTACCAACCTACAAAATAAATAAGGTTCTTTACACTCAAAAAGCTCTAATTTACTTTAACCAACTTAGTCCCCATTCGATGATATTGCAATGGTTTTGCTCCATAGTACATAGTCCTACCTGTTCCAACAATTTTTGAGGAGTTAAATATTGAAATATGGTATTGGAAATTCTTTTGAGATTGGAAAATCAAGTACAAAATTCTCTCATAAAAATTCTAAAACAAGAGGGAAAGAAAGAGTATAAGGAAAGTTTGAACTATCTACCTTCATTAAATGGCTGACTCTAGATAATAACTGTGTGTTCATAGATAATCTACAGTATAATTTCTCTCCTGGTTTAGCAACCAACCTCTCAGCAAATTCTTGTTGAAACATCAACACTGCACATCTATAATCAAATTAATCAATTGTAATTTCAAAAGGAAAGACCATGAAAATATGACTTCTGAAGTGTTAGAAGACATAGCCTAAATTATCGTTATTGAAATGATAAACAGTTGAGAGATCAGGAGAACCAACTGTTGCAAGTGCTAGATGTGACAAAGGTATATTTGTCTCAAGTAATTTAGATTTCTAATAAATTGGTAATAGACCTCTTGACACACTTAATAACCCTAAAAACGTAAGTAAAACCAACATCAAAGTTAAAATGGTTTGATCTCTCATTTCCTAAGTATTTTATAACTATTAAATCTACAAGACTTATTCACAATATGAAAAAAAACCTTGGACTTGGAGATAATCTCTCACCTGAAGAAAGGTCTGTGTAACAATAATTTAAATACAAATGGAGAGGAAATCTACAAAATAAAGAAATAGTAAACAATCAAAAAATCCCCCAATAATAATATACAAGTCATCAATTTGCTTAATGATTTAGCATAAAAGTAATATCTTTTGCATTGGTTACTCCTTCATTTTTTCATACTGACACTATTACAGTAATAATTGGTTTCTATTAAAAACAAGATGTAAATTTGTCACTAACCTGATATGGAAGATTAGCCACACAGACATCAAAAAAAGGTAATGGTGTTTTCAAAACATCTCCCACTATTAACTGTAGTTTACTGGCTAATGGTCTGAAATGGAAATTGATCAGGCACATTTTTTAAAACTCTTTCCATCAGATTGTTTCATAGTATTAATATAGTGCTCAGCAGTTTTATTTTCATTAATATCTTGACATTTAATATTGGATTATCTGGATTGATAACTATTATTTACTACATGACTTACGTTCCCTGGACTCTTTTATGTAATTCAGCAGCCAACCTAGGGTCCACTTCACATGCTATAACCTAAAAATAATAGACAAAGGTTCCATTCTGAGTCTGTCAATATGATCTTTTATTGGTTCTTCCAAATGATACACCCAATCCAGAAATCAAATAGTACAAAATGAAGTCAATAACTAAAAGCAGTAATTCAACCAAATCAGACTATGATTCTAATTTAGATTCAGACAAACATATTTAGTAACCATATTTCTTTATTCATTTATTTATTCATTTATTTAAAAATTCATTTGACTATTCATTTCTTGCCTATATTCATATGTATTCATCCAGTCTTACCTTTTTTACTTTTTCTAACAATTTAACTGTCATGTTACCAGTACCAGGTCCAACTTCTAAAACTACATCAGTAGCCCTTAAACCAGCCTGGAATTGTTACAGATTATAAGTTAACATTTAACAGACAGTCTACTGAGAAACTAGAACCAGAATAAATTATGGATGGGAAATTTTTCATTGGAAGAGTCATGAATTGCTCAAAACATGTTTCAATTTTTGTTCTTGTTCCTTACAGTTTAGCATTCTCTTTTGCTTAATTGAATGTTGAATGCAATAACTCATATTCCTTAATCCTCTACCTACACCAATGAATATCAATAGATTTAGAGATCTTTCAGAATAATTTATTAGGAAGATACAAACCTTGTCAATCATACTGTTTACTATTAGTGGATTTTTCAAAATATGTTGACCAAATGACTTGTTAAAATTTATCCCTAAAAATAGATAGAGATAGAAGTTGACCACAGCAGAGGCAAAACAGTTTAATCATATTGGAGTGGGCTTAGTGTAACATAAGAGTGATGCTTCACAAGCAATTTCAGATAACATATCATTTACAACTCTTTGCTCTTTCTTTGAGCTTGAGTTATTGTCCTTGTGGGCACTATGCTTGGATGAAAATGATATTCAAGAGCTAGAATAACAATAAAACGAATGATAATAAAATAAATACACTTGAATTAAGTACAAATCTGTTTATTTATGAAATGTTATGAAAATGACAATGTCAATGATCATTTGCACTCTTGGCCAGTCACCCACCTTGCTTTGTAGCTTGTGTATGCTGTCTTGATTTCTTTGCCACTCTTTCTTTTGGCATCTTGGCAGGTTGGGATGGACAATTTCAATAAGTTGATCGCTTTTTATGAGTTGTTTTATCAAATGTCAATATCTGAACACACGTGTGAGGATTGTTTACGGAAGTGACGTTATAAAAGTGGGTGTGACTAGAAATACGTACAAATTTATACTAAATTTTATATTCGTATAATAGATCAGCAGTCGAAATTTCAAATCTTAGATGGAGATCCATATTTCCATTTTCAATATACTAATTTTGCAGAAGATGTCATTTTCTTTCTTATATGTTTCGGATCAGATTAGATCTAGGCTATTACTTATTAGTGTTTTTAATCCAAATATGTACGAAATCTCCCGCGTTAGTCAAGATGTCGGATTCTAGTACATGCCCGTTTAAGGCTGAGTACGCTAAAAGCGACCGATCTAGCTGTAAAGCATGCAAAACAAAAATAGGCAAAGATTCTCTGCGTTTAGCAGTCATGGTGCAATCTCCTCATTTTGATGGAAAGGTTTGTCATATAACTTTTGTCGTATAAAAAGTCAGATGAAAATGTTGTGGTTGTCTTTTGGGAAAGATGGCTGATGAATTTCATTCACTTGCGCAATCTGATAAAACTAGTAGTCCGAAACATTTGCCTCTATTCCAGCCTCTGATATGATAGCTATTGTAAAGTTGTGATTTGTAGTGTGATCATAAAATCTAAGCCCTGTTTTATGGGGATCTATCTGAACAAAATAGACTGTCCATAGCCTACAAAATATATCTTGCCCAAATTTAGTTCTGTTCTGTTCCATTCATTCATCATTTTAGTCTAATTTTCCGTTTCTATTTCAGGTTCCTAACTGGTTTCACTATTCTTGCTTCTGGAGACGAGCTGGTGATGTGGAGCAAGTTGATGATATTCATGGATACCATACACTCCGTTGGGAAGACCAGCAGAAGCTGAAAAGTAGGATATCAGGAGAAACTACTGCCACAGATGATGTAGATGGCAAGATTGAAGAACACGATCTTTTATCATTTCGCACTGAATATGCCAAATCCAATCGCAGTCAATGTCAATCATGTAGGACCAAGATTGATCAAGGTGAAGTTCGTATTTCATGCAAGGAAGTTGATGATCCTAAATATGGTGCAGTAGACAAATGGTATCATGTTGATTGTTTTGTACAGAACAGAGATGAACTTAACTTCAACTTTGATGTCAAACTTTTACCTGGTTTGAGACGATTAAAAAAACCAGATCAAGAAGAACTGCATAAGAAACTGGCTCCAAAGTCTGGAAAAAAGAGGAAAGCAGATGGCGCAGCTGGGTCCTCTAAAAAGGTTAAGGTGGAGGAAACTGATGAAGAAAAACTGCTGCGGACTCAAAGCGCTGAAGTGTGGAAATATCGCGATTTATTACAAAAGAATGTCAACAACCAGGCGATGAAGTTGTTGTTGGAATTGAACAAACAGCATGTTCCTGTTGGTGAAAGTAAACTATTAGATGCCATGTCAGATGCTCTTGTATTTGGAGCTCTGGAGCCATGTAGCGAGTGTAAAGATGGCGCTTTCTTCTACACCCCAGAAGGATACAAATGTGCTGGTAACATGACTGGATGGACTAAGTGTATGAATATTGTAAGAAATCCAAAACGTCGAGCATTTAAAATCCCGCCAGAGTTTCATGATGTGGAGTTTTTAAAGAAATACAAATATAAAGCAAACATTCGTGTGTTTCCTACCATTCATGTTTCTTCTCTCGAAACTGCCATGGATTCTGTTGATGGGGCAGTTTCAAATGATAAGCCGCTAGATCAAATGAAATTTGCCATCATTGGCAAAACAAAGAAATCAAAAGCAGTTTTGACAAAAGAAATTGCAAATTTAGGAGGCACTGTGGTGTCTAAAATTGACAATACCATCGCTGCATGTATTTCTACTAAAACAGACGTTGCTAAGAAATCTAAGAATGTGAAAGAGGCAGAGAAAGCTGATGTTCATGTTGTTGATGAAGAATTTTTAGATAATTTGAAATCTGACACTGTTGTTGCAAATATTCTCAAACATGCTTTATCATCGTGGGGTTCAGACCCACAAACTCGTATTGGAGACATCAAACCAAAGGTGGTTAAGAGGAAAATGTATAAGAGTGGAATGAGTGAGATGGAAGAAATGAGGTATAAGAAGGATGTCCCTACAAAGAAAAAAATGACTGTGAAGGGTGGTGCTGCAGTAGATCCAGACTCAGAGCTGGAGGATGTAGCTCATGTTATTCAAGATGATAAAAAGGGCATTTTGAGTGTTGTTTTAGGTCTTGTTGATATTGTGAAGGGTACTAACTCTTTTTATAAACTGCAAGCTTTAGAGAAGGATAACAATAAGCAATGGTATCTTTTCCGATCTTGGGGACGAGTTGGAACTAATATTGGAGGTAATAAGATCGAAAAGATGTCAAAGAAAGAAAATGCTATCATTGCTTTCAGAGACTTGTATTTAGAAAAAACTGGCAACTCATGGGAGGATAGAGATTCTTTCGTCAAACATCCAAATAAATTCTATCCTTTAGAAATAGATTATGGGCAAGAAGATGAAAAAATTCAAAGTCTTGATTCTTCACGTGAAGGCTCCAAATTACCAAAACCTGTCCAGGATGTCGTCTGTGCCATTTTTGATATTGATCAGATGAAAAAAGCGATGATTGAATATGAAATTGACATGAAGAAGATGCCTCTTGGAAAATTATCAAAACGACAGATTGAGCAAGCTTATTCTGTTTTAACTGAATTAAATGGATTGATTGAGAAAAAAGGGTCTCAGAGCCTGTTTCTTGATGCTTCTAACAGATTTTACACCTTGATTCCTCATGATTTCGGAATGAAGAAACCACCTTTGTTGGATGATCCAGAGATAATTAAAACAAAAACAGAGATGTTGGACAGTCTACTGGAGATAGAAGTTGCTTATAACTTGTTGAAAAGTGGTGATACAGGGGCCAATCCTATTGATGTTCATTATAAACAATTGAAATGCAAGATGGAGCCCATGGAGAAAAAATCAGAAATGTATAAACGCCTGTCAAAATACGTGAAAAACACCCATGCAACCACACACAACCAATATGGTCTTGAAGTTTTAGACATCTTTGAAATTGATCGAGAGGGAGAAGAAGAAAAATATCAACCCTTTCAAGATTTGCACAATCGACAACTTCTGTGGCATGGTTCCAGAACAACAAATTACGCTGGTATTTTATCACAAGGGTTGCGTATTGCTCCCCCTGAAGCCCCGGTCACAGGGTACATGTTTGGTAAGGGTGTCTACTTTGCAGATATGGTATCAAAAAGTGCCAACTATTGTCGCACAACACAGGTCGATAATGTTGCTTACATGTTACTTTGTGAAGTAGCATTAGGAAACACCTATGATCTTCTGGGTAGCAAATTTATCCACTCTCTACCTAAAGGCAAACATTCCACAAAAGGATGTGGTATGACGGCGCCAGATGAGGCAGGAGCTTTCGTCACTGATGATGGCTGTAAGATTCCAATGGGTCAAGGTAAAGATGCTTCTATTGGACGTTCCAGTTTATTATACAATGAATACATTGTCTATGATACCTCCCAGATCAGGATGAAATATATGTTGAAGATGAAATTTAACTATAAATGGTAGCCCTAGTCAAAACCTATACTATTGTTTTGTTAACTTTACTGTATGCCTTGATCAGTAGTCACAATTTAATGTTTGTTTTTTAATGGGATATGGTCTTCTAATTATTTCCTCCCATGTTTCAGAGAAAGTTTACACTTAAAGGGATTGTTAAAGGAGTTTTCTATTTTATGTGTATCGAGGACACTGATAGCATCAATTTGCGACATTCCAATTTTCAATAAGACCCCTCTGGGTCAAGCACCTAGTTTAAGTGGAATTGCAGGAACCACAGACGTCTGACTGACAATTGGAATGGTGCAAATTGATGCTATCAGTATCCACGATACACATAGAATTTTTTTGAAAATCTTGTTACAATCCCTTTAAGTAGGAACAAATTTCTGTTAACAGCAGAAGTGAGGAGATTTAATCAGAGAGCTATATCCCTTAAGTTGTGTTTTTAAGTTTATAGCCCCATTACACCACATTGCAATCTTAGGCTCTGAGATTATTTTCCGTCGTCATAGCAGCTCTTTAAGGAGTTCTTTCCAATGTGACGGGGCTATTAAGGATTATATTTTAGAAGTATGAATGATACTTTGTTTCTTGCGTTTTTTTCTTTCTTAAGTATGTTATTGATGTACATGTCTAATGTATATTTTTAAGAAAAATTAGTGGTCATTGCATTTAATTTTAGCTTTGTCTGTTATTGATGTGAGTTGACTAAGAATTGCGTTACCTTCAATATGGAATCTCAAAGGGATTGTAAAGAGGTTTTTAAAAAAAAAAAAACAAATATGTGGGTACTGGGGACACTGATGGCATGAATTTGCACCATTCCAATCATCTTAAACTAAGTGTTTAATGTCGTCATGTATTTAATCGTGAAGGGCCTTATTTCCCGGATACTAAGTTAGTAAGCCTCTTTACTATCCCTTTAAATTCAAACAGATTCCTAAATGAAGCAACAGCATGATTATATTACTGAAGATTTTGATATCAATGCCTGCAAGTAAATAGATATTTTGATTTATAAGAAGAAAAGTAAGACGTAAAACTCCATTAATTTCATTTCATTGATAAGACAGGTGGAACATGTGCTGAATCTCTTTTGCAGACTAAATCCTTGACCAAACAAATTGATCAGAGTTTGGGGTATAACTTAGGCTATCAGGGATCTTGTTTAATAAAATTTTCTGTGAATTTTTCACTTTTTTATGATCCTAATATAAATCAAATTGTATTACATGTAATTTCAACTTTTTACAATCATGTATGTCATTAGATAATATTCATTCAACCTCTTCTGGTATTGTTGATATAGCCCTGTCATTTCTTTCTGACAGAGTTGTCGTTCTTTGTTCCTCGATTGTCTCCCATCGCTGATCAGATGAAGTTATTTCCCTTGCATGATCCTGGGAACTATCGTTTGAAGTTCCCACATAGATTGGTTGCTCTGCATCAAAACTAACATTGCTCGAAGATTGTTCTTGTGGAAAAATCGTTGCATCGATGAATTGTGCCAAAACTTCACCTTGTATGTCATCCAAATTGTCTGCATTTTCTAGAAAATCTTGTTTTAGTGCGAGCATGTCTGGATTTATTCCCCCTTGTTCTTCGACAGATTCTTCTCCTTTGTTGGCGTCTACTGTAGTGGAATTATTCTGATTCTGATAGTCTTTAGGAATAGAATTATTCAGCCAAGAGCGGAAACACGAAGTTCCCTTATCTTGGACATCTTTTCGTCCTCTAAGAGTGATGACCTCTCCATTCGCTCTAATGACCACCAGTTTGGGTATAGCTGTGATATGATATGTACTTGTAAGCTCGCTGGAATTTAGAAAATAAAAAAAAAACCATCAACGAATGTATTGTTTATACTTCTGTCTTAGTACGAAACATGCTGACGCACCGTCCAACTAGTATATACATTTTTGGCGGATGTGTTATATCGTGACTGCAATATAGGGACTATTTTGGGGCATTTGTCGGCGTCTCTAAACTCGAGAATTTTTTAAGCCCCGAAAATTGTTCTGAATATGGAATTCTGTCTACTTACAGTGTGATTGTTCTGGACAGGATGGGGGGGGGGGGGGGGGGGGGGGGAACCCTTTCCCTTTTAAAAACCCCCCAAAAGGGAAAACAAA